AATGTCTTCAACAACATCCCTGGACCTGCATGCAAAGACCACAGAGCACAAACGGTCATGGCCCCTCAGTGGCAAGAGGGGGCAAATCTGTGGCTCTAAAACGAACATGGCAAAAAGAAGCAAAAAAACACTAAAACGGTACCGACCTCACTAATCCCTCAAGCCGCGGCACTTTCTCCGCGCAATATACCACGCGTCGGCACGCGGCGCATCCGATGGTGCGGCGACGAAGTCGCTATTTCTGTCGGGGCGACCCTAAAACTAATGTAGAAACCAAACGGCGCTGATTTCGCGGCCCGTGGATCTTCAACAGCGAGACGCAAACAAATTGTCGCCTTTGTCGGCACGCCGCTCATGCACTGGTGTGTCGTCGAAGTCGCGTTTCGGGCTTTGGCGTCCTTAAAACTAATGTACATCCAAAAAATTGAGCTCGAGTCGCGCCCTACGATCTACCCTGAGCTGACGAGCACCCGTCTGGCCATGCGGTACGAGGCAAAGAATGCATGGCGAGGCGTCATTTCCTTAAAAAAAAAAACCGCCGAACTCGGGTAAACCGGGCGGGTTCCGGCGAGTTAGCGGGTTCTATGGGAGGCGCCATGGCGGGCTACTTATACACCAGCTCTACGAGAATAATGTGCACTTCGAGTGAGAGGGAAATGGAGGGGCTGGAGGGGAACGACCGCATGATGGCGGGCACCGATAAAAGTGCGCAAAAACGTTCTCAACCGCGTACCACACCCTTCGCCCCTAACCTTCAACGACGACAAAAGCAAAAAGTTACGTGCCGTATTCGCACGTAAACAGGGTGTGGCGACTCCGTCAACATTCTGGTCCAGCTGGATTTTTCGCGCGCTGAAAATGACCCGTCCGAAGGGCTCATTTACCTGGTTACCGCTACGGTCATTTGCCAACGGTAAGTGTTCTGGTAACCGGAGGCGTACGCGTCTACCATTTCTTCATGGGAATGAGACAATGTGATTCCCAAAACTTACAAAAGATTCGCATACATTGACCGTGTTCATTTTCAGTCTTCAACCAGTTTTTTACATATTAGTTCAGCGCGGAGTTCTATCACACCACCCCGCCACCGAATTTCAACCGAGCGGTGTTCATCGACCCAACGGGATGAGTTTTGCAACCGATTGCCCGGCCTAACTGTTCCGTGACTGGCACAAATCGAAATTAGGGTAACTGCGGGAGATCGCAGGCAGCTCGGAAACAGAGGGCAATTAGAAAAAAACACCGCAAGCAAACTGCAGGGGATGCGATATCGCCAAGCTTACCGCCGGCTGTTTCCCGCGAACACCTGCAGAGTTGCGATGAAGCACCAACCCGCGATTGCGCACCAATCTGCACTTGCGCACCAATCCGCCGCTTGCGCTCCGGGCGCAAACGAGCGGGGAGGAGGGGAGGGCGACGACGGGGAGGAGGGACAGGCGACGGCGCGAGGAGGGAGAGAGGCGACGGCGCGGAGGAGGGAGAGGCGAACGGCGCGGAGGAGGCGGAGGCGACGGCGCGGAGGAGGCAGTGGCGACGGCGCGGAAGGAGGCAGAGGCAACGGCGCGAGGAGGGAGAGGCGATGGCCGCGGAGGAGGGAGAGGCAACGGCGCGGAGGAGGGAGAGGCAACGGTGGGGAGGAGGGAGAGGCGACGGTGGGGAGGTAAGGGAGAGGAGATGGCGGGGTGGGACGGAGTGATTGTGAGGTGGGAGGAAGGGGCGATGGTGGAGTGGGAGGGAGAGGTGACGGCGGAGAGTGAGGGAGAGGATACGGGGAATGGGAGGGAGAGCGACGGCTAGGTGGGAGGTAGCGACGGCGGGGTGTTAGGAGAAATGGCTAGAGAAGAAATTGGGGCGGGGAGGAAATGGAGTGAGCAAAAGCAGGTGCTTCTCGAGAGGAACCAAGAACAAGAACCAAGAAATGAAAAGCCTCGAATTCGAGTTTGACAGCTGTGAAAGGGACAGATATCTTGGGCTTTGGTTGGGGTCGTGGTGGAGCTGGGATGTTCATACGGCGCGACTCGGCAAAAACCCCGCCCACGCCTTGGGATGCACGAGGCGCGGAGAAATCGCGGGAAGCGTGGGCCGAAGTCGGCCACCCAGAATCCCACCAGGTTTGGACCTAGCGCGGCCTTGCGTGCTCAGTGAAACCCACCAGGCTGGCCACCGAAAGCTCCGCAGCCCCCAAAAAACCTAAAGAACCCATCTCGTTCTTACGCGCCGATGCATGCGCGACTCGGTAGAAAACGAACACGATTGGTCGGTAACATTGACGAGCGGGACATCCCGCGCATGCAACCGCGGGACACCAAAGGAGTGTCTACTATTGGGTTGTGCTATCTCGCAACTTATCGCGAACAAAATTCGCACAAGGATGGGTACGGAAAGCGCACAGCGAGATCCGGTTCGGTTACAGCTGGCGGGATCTGGTAGGCTCCATGCTGGCTGACACGTGCAGCAATTTGAAACGAGCCACACAGCTGTGGCTGTTTGGTCGATGCGCGATCACGAATAACGTGTCAAGCACGTCCACGCAGTGTCCGGTCATTACTCCGAGCATGCCTACATTTTCCACTTTCCGATCGCCAGTTGCATACCAAGCTCTTCCCTCTCATGACACACTGGATTCACCTGACTTAGACGGAAAACGGGACACCAGTATCGCGGTTACGTTGTGTGCCGCGCTCGAATGTCCGCGAGCAAATCGGTCGCGAGGTAGACGGGTCCTAAGTCACACCCAGGTGTACAAGTAGTGACTGCGCATCATGTTGACGCACGCGGTGAATAGGAGTAGGTGCAATCCTCGCACGCCGCATGCATACCGTGAATCGCGTCGCGGCACCAATACTTCACGACTCCATCAATGCTCCGGGCAACACAACCGCGCATCAAATCCATAATGCCGAACCGCCTACCGCTCCCGTGCATGGGGTGAACGCGCTCAACCCCACATGGAGCACCCCATACGTGCAGCCCGTGGTTTTGGGTCCCGGATGCCCGCGTTCCACCCACAGCAACTGGTCAAACGGGGCTCCACCTAGCACCGCGACCACAAATACCGTTTGCAGCAGCGGCGGTCGCGTTTACAAAATCAACCGGGTAAATGTTACCCGCGCAAGGAGTTTCCACGACTCATCCCGTTGGACAACACATTGCGTCCCCGTCCGTGCCCACTAGCCAGCTCTTTGGGATGCCTGTGCGTGGCTTCGTAGGGCCGCAGTACTCGAACGTGGGATTCAGGTACGGGTACTTCGGCGTTAAACCAGACCCCCATGGTGCACGCACCCGCATCTGTCGCGACGCCTCCTGTCGCGCCGTCAACACCATTCCCCAGCGCGATTCATCCGGAAAGCCAGCCAGCGGTGCAAGCCCCGCCAAGGACCCTAGAGAAGCATTAGTTGTCGGTTTGGTACACACTGGGCGCGAACAGACGGGCCCATCATCGAACGCGGATGCCGGTGGTTTAGGGCGTGCGGTGAAATGGTGGAGCGGGGATGAATGCGATCGCGCGTGCACATTCGCCGCCAATATGGAACGTGAACTCACTGTTGCCCGGAAACCCCGACATCCACATCCGCACCCCCGCGCATCCGACTGTAGCGTACGCGACTGGTGTAGGTGGGCAACCACAGGCGAACGCGGGGCGTGGAGTGGGTGCAAGCGGAAACGCGGTAAGGGGAAGAGGGACGGGTGCGAGAGGGAACGCGGGAAGAGGGACAGGGGAGAGAGGGAGCACGGCTAGAGGGAGAGGTGCGAGACGAAGGGGTGGGAGAGCAAGCGCGGGACGTGGGACAGGTGTGGGATCGAACGAGTATAGTGCGAACGGGCAGGGAGCGCATGAGGTGACAGGTAACGGCGGCTCGGGTAGCGGTGTTAACGCGAACGGCGGGGTCCGGTAACGGGCCAGTTAATAGACCGTGTATAAGGAGGCGGAGAGTCGATGTAGTGCCGCACACGGCACGCAACGTCTCCCGGGAGGGGAGCGAGGGGGCAAGCGATGAGGATGACAAGGACGACGCTGACGATGCGGACGATAGTTGGAATGGCGATGACGAAAACTACCTATCGAACTCGCTGTCCGGGCTCAACGAGGAGGAGGGCGAAAGACAACGAACGGGTGCGGGGTACGCGGAGGGACCTTGAGGTCCCTATCGCGGATTGGAACAGGCTAGGTGTGGACGACACCACCGGCCGCGAAACGAGAGATGTGCTACGGAATCCTCTACGGTGTCTCTGAGGCCACGCTGAAGAAGTATCGCGGTTGGGCCAACGAGTACAAGCGGTTCATGGCTCACGAGCTGCCTAAACTGGACGCGGGTAGGTTTGGTGATGAGGCCGGCGTTGAGAAACGCGGACCCCGACGAGATAGGGGCCGCGCTCGAACAGAACATGGGTGGTGACTGGAAGATGGCGGAGGGCGACGAGCAGTGGTTCCACGGCTCTGAGACGAATCCGTGGCGCTTACGCAAATACGTGACCTTCCTCGCGAACGAGACAGTCGCGCAGGCGGACAGGATGGCCACACTCAAGCGGCCAGAGAAGACCTTGAAGAAGAGACGCCAGTGCACCCCGGCAATGCTGATGGGGCGTCTCAAGGCTTTGAACCTGCTCATCAAGCTGGACAAGGCCATCTTCAGGAAGCCCGTTCTGAACCTGCTGCGCGACTTTGCGGAGTGTCGCATCTGGGTCCGCGTTCAAGTACGCAACCAGTACAAGCGGTTTATCGCGTAAGTATACGTTCTCAGTGAACGCATTTAATGCCCAACAATACCCGCGTCCACTAACACCCGCCACTATCGCCCCAATCGATGCGCAGGGAACACATGGATCGCCATCGAGGCACGGCCGCGGACACGTACACCCCGGACGAGTTCAACTATATGATGCGGAAGACCAGCATGGACGCGATCTTGACCAGCTTCACACTAGCCAAGAAAGCATACACGCAGGCAATGCATCGCGACCTCTGCATCCGGACGATGACCGTGCTCGGCCATCACACTCTGGCCCACGGATGCACGATCAGAAACCTGCAGCTGCCAGACATGATGATGTGGAAGCTCGGCGCAAAATCGGAGACCGATCGACTGAGGAATGCGTTCATGTTTGTTTGCGCGTGCAGGACGGGCAAGACAAACAAGGACTTCTCGCTCAACTACATATCTGCTATGAGGCACATAGATTGGACGTTGTGCGCGGTCGGAGCCACGCTGCTGTGGCTGCACTGGGTGTACGACTTGGTTCCCATCCTCTACAAGGACATAGCCCCCCCTCTCGACTTTACGGAACCCTCGACGTGGTACGATCAATACCTGTTCTTCCCCCTTCGCGCTGGCAATGAGAAGCAAATACCGCCCACGACTCATCACGACTGGGCGGCGAAGATTCTCCAGGATGCGGGAATCACATGCTCGCGTGCGGTACACGCGACCAGGGCTGGGGGGGCGCAGCACGTGTCCGCGGACGGAATGCCTTCGGATCAGCTGGCGAGGCTGGGGGGTTGGCGCTTCATCAACGTGATGACTAAGCACTACCTCACAACCATTCCGAGGGAGGCCGTGCTGCTGAAGGCGGGCTTCACCGGGGTTGACGGTGACTACTTCCTGGGTCGCGCAACTGTTCCGGTCAGCGATAAGCTGGATGAGCTACTGAGGAAGCACATTTTCCCATGGGCCGCCGCGGACAAAGAACAGCAACATGTATGTGTGGGCCGCGCATACGCGACCGCAAGCATCCCACATAACCCTCTGGCACCGCGTTCACTACCGCGTTGTTTTCTTGTCACAGTGCAAGGATTACAACCGCAAGATGGTGAAAAAGCAGAAGCCGGAGAAGCAGGACACCACGGGGCTAAACATAATGAAGGAGCTGGATGGTGACGCTAGGATGGCGGTCGCGCAAGACCTGGCAATGTATTACATCCACCAGCCGCGACACCCGTACGTGGTCAACAACCCGCTCTGCCAGACGGAGGAATTTGCGTCGTGGGCTGCAGATGTCTCATTGGCAAATCAACTCGCCATAGTACAGCGCAACACACCTACACTGACCCAGCCCGCAGTAAGTACTGCATGGTCGCGTTATCTTTCGGCTGTGATGTCAATGCCAAACCATAACAAGTTCGCGGTCGCTTTCTGTCCATGCAGGAGGTGAGTACCAGAATGGACGCGCAGAACCAAGTGACCATCCTCACTGAGTACCTGACTCGTTCACAAGCGGACAACACCAGACTGGGCCTAGAGTTGGTCGCGACCTCATAACCGGGTGAAAGAGCTGGAGGGGCTGCTGGAGGATCGCGATCGGAAGCTGGCCGCGAAGGACGAGCGCGTGAATAATTTGGAGGCCCAGCTGTCGCGGCTCACCGTGAGCAGCTCAGGGCCGACCCGCGGTTCCGAAACTAGGCAACCAATCCTGGAGCCGCGGCCGCGCCGACCAATGCCACAACTCCCACCGAGCAGGGGACGCGGAAGAAACCCGCACCGCCCACCAGGGAACAGACGATTCGGGACGCGATCGTCCTTCCATGGGTCAACGCCACCAAACCGTCAGACGGATGGAAGCTGTACAAGACAACGCACCCGCTGATCCGCGAGAGTCCAGAGTCGCTTCTGGCCCAGCCCCGCGGTGCAGTTACGCGAATGGCCGCGCTCATTGGGGAGGAGGGAGGCGGTCAGAACGTGATAAACCGTGTCAAGCGACTCATGAACTTCATCGCCCACAGGGTGGAGCAAGGAGACGACATCGCGGTAGTGCTCGACAAGCTCGACCTCGTGTCAGGAGCTGTGGGCATGTCGGGTGTATCGGAAGGGATCGCGGTAAAGAAGAAGAGTGTTGACCTGGAACTGAGCCAGCTCAAGAAGGGTTCTCCGGTGGAGTTGCAGTTGCGTGTGAAATGGATGCTTGTTCGCGACCGTCTCATCAATGCCTCTCTTCCCGCGTCTGAGTTCACGGTCGCGTGGCCCCCAGTACTGTGCGCTGATGCCAGACTTACAGTAAATGGATTGACCTCGCTTTTGTTCGTCTTGATATCACTGTCTTCGGGTGCGATGTTATGGGTCCCTATAATCGACCGCGAGTGTTGTTGTTTTGCGCGAAAATAGTGCTGATTTACATCGCGGCCGTGGTGATCGTGGGCTGCTGTTGCCTAATGTATATAGATTGTTTGCGTCGTAGTGTGTACAGTGATAATGTGTGGGAATACCTGAGTCGAATGCAGATTACTACTAAAATGGCACACGCGCAAACACACGCACCCACTGAATCCTACAAAAGATCACACACAAAGTACGTAAGTTAAGAACAGTCCACCGCGAGTATAACTCCAGCACATATTGTTCCAAATGTCAACACTATGTTCTCACGCGCGCGCGCACATACACACACACACACGATATACTACATGCACACAGATCCGCAAGCCCAGCACAATCCACCGCAAGTAGAACTCAAGCATGGCGGACAAGCTGTGCACATGCTACGCGATACTACACGCACTCAAGTCCGCTTCTTCACACGATCCTTGGGCAGGGCAAGGTACAAACCCAAGGAATCCATCTGCTTCCCTGCCACCGAGCAGTCGCACCAGGTGATGATAACGTCCACCGTTTCGCGGGCGGCCAACTCAATGTGCCTGAGATCGCGAGACTTTGCAACGACCTCGTTCACGACTCCAGACACGATCGCGGCGGCGACCGCCTTCGGGTCCGCGACAACTTGTGGCTCATCTTCCTCAGCCTGCTGATGTTCGCGGCAATTGCGCTTTCGCACCGCATTGATGACAAACGCGGATACTACGGGGAAGAGACGGCTTCGCTCTCCATAGCAACCAGCAGCTCGGGCGGCCAGATTTCCATTATCCGCTGCGGCAGTGACGTTAGAACCGCGAGTGACCTCCCACACCATTGCAATGGCGCATGCGATCGCTCCCGCGTAGTCCGTCGGCTCCACATCGCCGAGATCCGCTTCTTCTGCTGCAGCCTCCTTGCCTACCACCGCAGCCCATGCAATTACGTTGGTGGTGTGCATTCCAGGCTTGGTTAGCCCGCGATAGGAATCGAACATGCGTTGCCACCTGCCACGCAGTGGGTTGGAGCGGCCAGAACATGATAACATACCAAACCGTATGAACGCACTAGATGATGGTGGATTGGCACAGCTCACCTGTCCTTGCTTGCCACGAGGTTGCGGTAGTGCATGGTGATTAAGAGGCCCGTATGTAACCCCTCGGCGATGGACAGGTCCGCGGCCCATTCTCGGATCTGCTGCTGGCTCAGGTTCAGCCTGGGGTCGACCTTCCCGTCGTAGGGATACATTGCGATCGCGGTCTTGTACTGCAGGTCTTGGCGGTTGCCATGTCCGAGCCATCGCTTCTTCCCCCCCAGATGGGGTTCAGAAACCAATCCGGGCCCGCCCCTGGGTGGAGCGCGGATGCCGCAGCCCCTGCGCTTGGGGCCGGTGTCACCATGTCCTCCCGTTGTGCCACCTTCCACGACCACGGGGTCTCCGTCTTGCTCGTCCGCGCTCTCCCCGCCGCTATAAACATCGACCACGGCCTCCCCACCCTGCTCTCCTCCGTCGCCCGCCTCGACCCACCTGCTCACGAGACCCTCCAGCTCCTCATCTGCATCGTCCTCGTCGATCGTGTACACGGGTGGAGGGGGCAACTTCTTGCCACCCCGTCCGCGTTTCTCCGCCTTGACCTCGACCGAGGCCGCGATAGGACTTGCAGATGCCAGTGCGCTGTGCAGATTTCCCGTGGTGATTGCAGCACGAGCGGGTGCGAGCGTGGTCTGCCTGCCCTCTGCCGCAGCAGCCGCTGCGGACTGGACCTCACGCCTGGAGGCCAGCGAACCCGCAGCAGCCGGCGCCTCTCCATCCTCCGCCTTACCCTTGCCCCGACCCACAGTAGTTGTCACTGTTGCGGTTGCCCCGGCAGGGCCCGGTGGTTTGGGTGCAGCTTCTCCAGGTGGGATGGAGCACGAGCTCGAACCCGGTTGACCAGGCGGTGCTGCACCTCGCAATGTAGCGCCCCACTTCTGCTTCAGCATGTCCTGCACGCTCGGATTGCGCACCGCAGCCGCTGCCTGGGGACCTCTCTGCCTCTTCGCCCCCCGTTGATTCTCCGCCTTCGCACCCGTTGCCCGCTTTCCATGCTCTGCATCCCCGGGCTCGGCAATCTCCGTCGCGGCCGTTCCTTCATTATCCGTGCGCGGCGGGGGGCCTCCTCCAACGAGCGCGATGAGGGTGTGCAGCGCGTTCGTGACCCCGCTGGTGGTGACTGCCCGCTCTGCTGTCGCGGAGACCGCGGTCGACATGTTGTCGATCTTCCGCGCAACCTCGTCCGTCAGCTTCTTCTGAGCGGTTTCCATGGAGTCTGCCACCACCCCCTGCACCTGTCCAGCCTCGCGTCCACTCGCCCCAGCACCAACGCCTCCTGGTTACGCGTATCGACCAGGGCCGCTCTTTCCTGCGCGATCGCCCTCGCCTCCTTCTCCAACACCCGAACCGCATTAGCAAGCGCGGACGCAAGCTCCTCAGAGCCCACGACCGCGACCCCACCAACCCCCGACTCCTGGCGTTTCTTCAGCCGTGCGTTCTCTTCGGCCTGCGCTGCAAGCCTGCATTCGAGCTGCAGGATCTCGGCAGCAAGCTTATGCGATGGCAACGAGGATAGGGACGCGTGATCACGCGCACCTGTCACGGGACTCTTGCCCGCGACCTCACCACTCGGGCCCGCGCTTCCAGCACCGGGGGCCAAGTGCTGCGCGAGGTGGTTGATGCTCTTGCCGGATGTAGTGGGCCTGCTGGATGCCGCGGCCGCTACCACGTGAGCCTCCGCCTCCTCCTCGCTCGACTCCTCCCCCTCACGCACAACAGTGCGGTCAGCCTCATCGCGGGTTGCACCCTTAGTCGCGGTATCCTCGGCCCCTTCGCCATTAGCGTGGACCACCGTCCCCCCCCCGAGCACCTCCGCGGTTCGAAACACCAGCGGCACCTGTGAGAGCGAGAACACCATGGTCAGCAACTTGCACACCCGTTGCCACTTTCTGCACCTTCCCCATTTCAGCACCTTCAGCCTCACCGCCGTGCTTGGGTCGCGTCAAATCCACGCTCAAGTTGAACGCGAGCTCTTCGGCGGTTTGGTACGCCTCATGCCGCAGTGCATTCAGAGTCTTCGCGGTTGGCCTCGAGAATTGCGGCCCGGATCCACTGGGAGCGACCGCGTCCAACTGGGCAAGGATCTTGTCGAACGCGAACAAACAAGCGAGATTGCCGCAGGAGCCCTTCAATGACGTCGCGTCCTGGAAAACATAACATGGGGTTTGTTAGCACCACTGCAACTATTCGCGGTCATCGAGAACACGTACACAACACAGACGTACCAGATCCAACAGACACTTGGGATCCTTAAGCTGGCGGGAGCGGGTGCACTGAATGGAGCCGCGTGCAAAATCCTCGTCAACGCGACCCTGAAACCACCTGCCCAAAAGCACATACATATCCACACGAACGCACGGTTAGCGACATGAGCCTCGGTGCGGAAATGAACGTGGTACTGATGATAAACCAGTACGCGGTACTCACTCCACAATCGCCTCCACCGCGGTGACGTGTTCCGCACCACCAGTGGGAATAGCAACGCGAACGAACCGCGTGTTCCAAGTCTCGTCACCGTCAAGCGACAGGTGGTCAGGGTGAAGCATAATGAGCATGCTCGCGTTCGAGCGCTTCTTGTCGATCAAGTCCCTGAACGTGCCATTGACGACCGCGCTAAACCACGTAAACGAGTGCATTCCCTGTACAAGTGAACACTCCCAATGAACACTCACTCGGACCAGATGCAGAAAACCACCAGGCTGCACTCCATCAAACCGGCAAAGGCTTGGACCGCTTCATCGCGACCCGCGACTATGTCCGCGACAACACCGCTCGTCACGATTCGGACGTGCTTGTGAAAATTTAGAAGAAAGAAGAGGGTTGCACTAGCAAGAATGAGGATACAAATAGCAAACCCTAGAAGGGTTGTACTCGCTATAGAGCACCCCACTACAGGCTAGAGCATAATATTCTGACACACCCCCATAGCCAAAGTGGGGTGTAATCAGCAGAGCAAGCAAAGCAGTACAAGCTCAGGGTGGATCACAATGTCACCACACATTCTGAGCACAAGTTCAAGAAGCAATAGTTTAAAGTTCACAATTATGAGCAAAGCTAGAGGCTACCGCAGAGGGCTAGTGTGGAGGAGGAGGGAATATGAGAGGAGAGGAGGTAGTGGGCGGCAGCTGAAGCTGCTGACACACGGCGCAACTGGAGCAACTGGCACACGGGCAACTGGAGCAACTGGCATACTGGCAACTGGAGCAACTGGCACACGGGCTACTGGAGTAATTGGCTCCGCGGCTAAAAGTAGCGGCAGACGATCAACGGACTCACGGGCGACTGGCGCAACGGGCTCACGGGCGACTGGCGCAACGGTCTCACGGGCGACTGGAGCTGCTGGCTTCTCGGCGGCCACCCCCTTCAACCTCCCCAAACTATCCCACCCCCATTTCACACACCCCCTACTGCACCCCTAGGGTCACTCACACCCCACCCCCTAGCACCACTCCGTCGACTCCCACACACCCACCCCCCTCAGCGGCAGCTGCAGCAGTGGGAGACAGAGGAGGAGGAGGAGCAGGGGAGACCACACACCCGCCACCCCCCACTCGCCACCCCCAAACCCGAACACAGGGCAGGGCGGGATGGTGGGTAGAGAGGTTACGGGGGGGGGGGGCGACGTGCGGCCTCCCTGGGCGCCAAAGCAGGCGGCAGAAGGGGCGACGCTCGCCCCCTTCCCCCAGGTCGCCTCGACAGGCGACGGGAAAAGGTGGGGGGGGGGGGGGGGGGGGGGGGGGGGGGGGGGGGCGGTGCACGTGCCCCCGGTGCGCCGCGGCTGGCGACGAGGCATGGCCGGGGCGGGGCCAGGGCCGCAAGTGGCGGCGGCGGGGCCGCTGGCGGCGACGACGGGGCTGCTGGCGGCGGTTCGGGGCCGATAGGAGCGGCGACGGGGGGCGACGCACGGGTCCCCGTCGCCCGTCGCAGCGCCTCCCGGGGGCGACGCGCCGAGTGACGGGGCAGAAACCCGTCGCACGCCTCGGGGCGCACGGCGGGCAGAAAACCGCCGCACGCCTCGGGGCGCACGGCGGGCAGAAAATTGCCGCGCGCCTCGGGGCGCACGGCGGGAAGAAAAACTGCCGCACGCCACGGGGCGTGCGGCACAGAGAGTAGCAGTAGCAGTTGCAGCGGAAGCAACGAGGTGGTGAGCCCACCCACAGGATCGATCCAAGGGGATCGACCTACTCTGATAGCATGTGAAAATTTAGAAGAAAGAAGAGGGTTGCACTAGCAAGAATGAGGATACAAATAGCAAACCCTAGAAGGGTTGTACTCGCTATAGAGCACCCCACTACAGGCTAGAGCATAATATTCTGACAGTGCTCATGCACCTCCTTCTCCATATACCTCCGGACAATCACGCTGTGCGGGACGGTGTAAAACACGGCGGGAAAAAGCTCAACCATAAACAACGCGACCTAAAAGCACAGCGGAGGTATGCCGCGGCCTGCACTACCCCCTAGTAAATATTGCTGACATGTCGCGAACAGCCTAAACACCGCGACCATAAACAACGCGTGCATAGTGAAGTCAGGGAATGGAACGCATGGATCTCACCCGGTGACAAAGTCGAACAGACGGGCCGTGAACGGATGCTTATCCTCAGCGAGCAGCTTCCACTGTTCGGGGGGGAGGTCCACCGTGGCTCCCGCAACAGAGATGATGGTCGGACAGGAGGCGGCCTCCTTCGACCCAGCTCTAAGCGCCTTCATTTCGCGGTTCATTACTGGTACGACCGCAAGAGTGCGACCACAGGTACGGTGTATCTAGGACGAACGGTACGCGAAACAGTGCTCACGGCAGAAAATAAGAGCTAAGCTTAACGCTACCAAGCGCGAACGCGGCCAAGCAGAGTCTTTGCTAGCACTAGGCGATGAGGAACTCTACGTGGAACGGACGAGCAGGAAGAAAACAAGATGTGAAGACGGAGAACGAAAATTAGCACCAGGTGCCCGTACCGAGAACCTAAGAGAGGGCCGAGGGGAATCAAGAGACGGCACTCACGGTCAAACTGCGCGGGCCTCTCACCCCGCGCCGCTTTCGACTTGACAAGCGGGGAGGTCCGCAACATGCACGCTTGTGCAGCCAACGTCCGCCACGTTGCACACCATCCGCGAGCCCCGTTCGTAGCGGGCTGCCAACTCCCGCGGAGAGAGAATTTTCCTCGTCGCGACCGCCGAGGTCCAAGGTAACGATCAGGTACACCAATTTGGGTCACCCGAATTAACACTACACTCCGTTATATTACACGTAAACTCGCAATTGAATATTTCCCCGATGCATTAGAGATTATATCGTTTGATCTTTCGAATGGCGTACACTCCGCTCCGTAAATTTAATCCCAGCATGCTTTCCGGGAACGATTGTTCGCGAGGGTCTTGCGAGCATTCCGACGCTCGTAAACGATGGCGATTGGCCGGCTCCATTTCGGGAAGCACGGAGATGGCTTCGCACGCGCGCCGATTCACCCGTCGCTTCGAAACCGGCTCCCATTGGCCGAATCCTTTTCGGCCAGCCCGAATTGCCATTCGCACGCGCGGATTTGCATGCGAAATGCTTCGCGAGGGTTCTCCGAGGGACAGACCACTCGGAAACGGCTACGATTGGCCGGATCCGTTTCGGCGCGCTGGGGTTCGGCCCTCGCCCTCGGATTGGAGAGCGATGAGTTTCGCGAGGGGTTTCGCGAGCCAGGGCTGGGCCCGGGGGGGGCCGGGGTTGGGACCACGCTGCGTGGCGCTGGCGTGGCCCGGGCTCGGCGCGGGACCACCCCGCCAGCTTGCTCCGCCGCCCGGATCTCGCTAGGGACCTGGGAGGGGGCGGGGGACTCCCTCTCGCGTGCGATTCCCAGCTGCGAGTCGCGACACACCAGGCATCCGCGTGCGGCCCTGGTGGAAACCCGTTTCCACCAGGAGGGGGACCTGGTGGGATTCCTTCCACCAGGGCCCGGATGGACTGGCAAGAAATTTCTGCCAGCTTAGAAGGAGGCACCAAATCCTATATACAATACTACTGAACTTGCTGACACATCAGATACAGTACAGTAGTTGCAAACATAAAACCCACTATAGTAGATACTTCTATAAGTACCACAATGTTTCTTATAAAAAGGATACAACTCTATGCAACCCTTTCGACGTAAACGTCGAGTCTTGTTTTGAAATGGCGGCGGAAATCGCTGCCAGTATAGGGTGCTGAGCCTGGGCAGGTACAGCTCGCTATTGCTGTAGTATATGTTTTTTTTCCAGGGTGAACGACGTGAAGACGAGACTGCGGGAGAGAAAGCATTGGGAAATTATGTCACAAGTAACCAACATGGGACGCGATAACGTGAGTAGTAAAAACAAAACTCTTATGATCACCCTATCGGGTTTGCTGACGGGCTTGGTAAGTGGTGTCAGAACTATATAGCTTATACTATTGTGTAGGCTATAGTGGGGTATCCCATAGGGGGTACAACCCAATTAGGGTTTCCTATTTGTACTCACTTCACTTCATACTCATTCATTCACGTTCATACTTTCTCATGGAATCAGAGCAGGTCCCTTCCTAGGGACTATTCCTAGGGCCCACCGAAGCGCGCCCCGAAGCGCGCGTTTTTTTTTTTTAGCGACCCTCCGTGTCGCCCTTCCCGCCGTGCTCCCGCTTAGGCCCCTCGTCGGCCCCGCTTAGGCCCCTCGTCGGCCCCGCTTAGGCCCCTTGTCGGCCCCGCTTAGGCCCTTAGTCGGCCCCACTTAGGCCTCGTCGGCCCCGCGTAGGCCCCGTCGGCCCCGCTTAGGCCCCGCTACGGCCCCGCGTCGGCCCCGCTTAGGCCCCGTCGGCCCCGCTTAGGCCCCGCTACGGCCCCTCGTCGGCCCCACTTAGGCCCTATCGGCCCCGCTTAGGCCTCGTCGGCCCCACTTCGGCCCCACTACGGCCCCGCGTCGGCCCCGCTTAGGCCCCGTCGGCCCGCCTAGGCCCTGCTACGGCCCCTCGTCGGCCCCGCCTAGACCCCGTCGGCCCGCCGTAGGCCCCGCTCCAGCCCGCCGTCGGCCCCTGCTGTAGCTCGCCGTCGGCCCCGCTACAGCCCGCCGTCGGCCCCCGCTCCAGCCCACCGTCGGCCCCGCTACAGCCCGCCGCCGGCCCCGCTACTGCCAGCCGTCGGCCCCGCTACAGCCCGCCGCCGGCCCCTGCTAGAGCCCGCCGTCGGCCCGCCGTCGGCCCCGCTACTGCCCGCTGTCGGCCCCGCTACAGCCCGCCGCCGGCCCCGCTACAGCCCCGCTAAAGCCCGCCGTCGGCCCCGCTACAGCCCGCAGTCGGCCCCGCTACAGCCCGCCGTCGGCCCCGCTACAGCCCCGCTACGGCCCTCCGTCTGCCCCGCCGCTCGTGCTGCAGCCCGCCGCGCAGCCATGCAGCCGCCCACCGTGCCGCCCGTGAGCAGCTCCAGCCGCTCGTGCGCCGCCCGTGCGCCGACCGTGAGCCCCTGCGTCACCCGAGCAGCGCGAGCCGCCCGAGCCGCCTGAGCTGCCCGAGCCGCCCGAGCCGCCCGCGCTGCCCGAGCCGCCCGAGCCGCCCGAGC